TCTCTCTCTCTCTCTCTCTCTCTCTCTCTCTCTCTCTCTCTCTCTCTCTCTCTCTCTCTGTACTGAGGATTCAGCCAATGGCTGTGCTTAAACTAGGGAAGCACTTCTACTGAGTTCGGTCTCCAGCCCTTTTTATTTGGTTTGCTAAGTTGCCCAGTTGGCCTTCAACCCATGCTCTTTCTGTCTCTGTTTCTTGAGTAGTGGGATCACAGGCACACACTACTGTACTTAGCTTTTAGATGTCTGCTTCAAAAACCATTACTTGCACTGTACTATATAGTTTTCTAGAAGAAACTGTTGTCCCTACGACATGACTAGTTTTTAAAATTTAACCATAAACACAATGATGTGAAATCGAACATGTAAAGATTCTGCTTTCTGAAACTGGCATGATCTTATTTCCTAAGTGCTTGATTATTATTATTATCAAGCACTGATAATAATTCAAATAATTATTCAAATAATATTTCAAATGAAGGGGGAATATGAAAGTTCACAAACTAAACTGTGAAGAAGAGGCATTTTAATCTAGCAATTACATTTCTGAAAATACACATTCATCAAAAGTTCTCCGTGGACCAGCCTCCTTCATAGATCTCAGTTACCTCATCTGATGTGGCCAGAGTGCTGTCCCTCACTCAGCAACTCCATACTCACCAGCAGCTCCACGGTTGGCTTCTGGTACAGATAGGGAAAAGGCTCTTTGGTCTGCCTCTCCTGGCTTTCGCCTTTTCCGAACACTGGAATTAGAAGAGAGTCATCAGTTCACAGCCTGTATTTCGGCACCTTAGCAATAACTTCCTGCTGGGCTGGGGTTAGTCTGCTTGGTATTTCCCAAGGCCTGGAGTCTCGTAGCTCAAAGTTTCCTTTGCTCAGGGGCCCACCCTGAGTATGGAAATCACCATGGAAATAGGACATTTAACAAAGAATATAGAGTTCAGCTGCTCCATTGATCCTTAAGTAAGAAGCCCTATATTTTTTAGATGAGGAAGCAGTAGCCCAGAGGGATGCTGACTTGCCTGTGCTCCCTGATGTTTCTCTCTTCTACACTACCTGGAGAATTTGTAGGTGCACGAAGAGGGAAATTCAGACACTGTGGCTCCTGACGTGGTGATTTCCTGAGCGCTAGGGTCTGGGACTGAACTTGCCTTTGACTCTCTTCAGTTGGATCCACATTAGGCTATTTGGGATTTGAACTTTTTCTCGCAATCTTTTTATGTACGTCTCTAGATTTTAGGCATTTTAATACCAACTGCTGGTTAAAACAGGACAAGTGATACACATGTAGTTACTTAAACAAGAGTTTTGCATGTCTTTTACATCCTTAAAACTCTTGAAATTACCCACAAACACATTTTAATTATAAATTATGCTATGTAGCATAATTTATTTTCAAAAATGACAGATTTAAGTAGGGCTTTATGCATTGCAAAAGAGCGGGCTCCGGGCTGGGTGCTCTGGTTCCCTCTGGTGGTTAAATGTGAGAATAGCTGGCTGGGCTGGACTGAATTGGCTGCTCCCTGTCTGTCTGCCTTCTACTCCAGTCCCATCCAAGCACCAGAAGGAGTGCTCCAGAGTTATCGCGCTGTCATTTTTGTAAGAGCAGGGGTTTCAAATTCCCGTATGGCTGTGGAATTATAGTATGTAGGCAAAACAAATTAATTTTGGAAACTTAATTTGTTTCCAAATGAAGACTAGGAGGCAGGGAAGAGTCCTCTCGCTCAAAGGCCAGCATTGTGACCTGCTGACTGACCGCTCCTACTGGCTGGCGCTCCCCTCCCCAGCAGCTCTTCTCCTGGCCCTTCCCCTGCTGCCTCTTTTCTATGAGGCTTTATTCCACCTGCTTCCCCCCCTCGCCACTCGTGAGAGGTGGATATTGACCTTTTAAGGCAAGCCGTGCTCTCTTCCACAACGTGGGAGCCAACCAAAAGCCGACTCTTGGGTCCGAGGGGTCCTTGAGGTCACTGCAGTGTCTCTGCCTATGCGTTCCTGTAGCCACTCCACGCTATTGCTCTGTCTTGCCTGACATTCAGTCTGAGTGATAGGAGATGAACTGGAGGGAGAAGTTGCCAGTGCATCTTCTGAGGGGCCACCATGGGAGAGGACTCTAGCCTGGGAGCCAGTTGTAGCCCTTGCGGTGCCTCTGGCCAGCTGTGTGGGTCTGGGTCTGGGGAGTTCTGCTCCCTTCTCAGGTCTGGGGAGGGATTAGGCTGGCTCGCTCTCCTGTCTCTTCACAAGCTGGTCCCACCTGCAGCTGAGGGGGCAGACCCCCCACCCCCAGACTCCTTCCTGTGCACCAGAACCTGACCCCAGCCTCCAAGGCCGAGTTCCTGGCTACCTCACCTGCTCAGCTGTAGCTGCCCTCTGGAGCCTCTGCTGGCCTGTGGGAGTCCCCTTCACACCCTTCTTCTGTATGTGTTCCTACTCACATTGCCTTGGGAGAGAACTATTCATATGCAACTTCCCTGACTGATGGTTTTTGACTTAGTGGCAAGCTGGAATCTCATGAACAGCTCTAAAAGATCCTGCCTTCCATCCAGGCTGCTCCCAAATGAATTAAGAGTCTTTGGGTATGGGATCTGGGTGATTCCCACATGCAACCAAGCTGACACTACCCTCTTTGTTCACCGCCTGTCCCAGCCTGCTCCCCGGCCTTAGGCAGGGTGTGTTCAGATACAAGAAAGCTGTCGCTGTGGCCAGCAGGTAGGCTTGAGAAGAATGCACTTGCCCCTCTGGGTGTTCCCACCTCCCTATGGAGTAGCTACAGGCCATTGGCTTTGTTTTATCAGAGACAAGGACGCAAGGATGCTCTTGTCTCTGATAAAGCGTGAAGCCAGGATGACTGGGAGCAGGACATGCACACCTTTGCTCCTCCTCCGAACAGATGACCACTCGATGTGGAACACACTCCTGCGCCTGGGGAGCACAGCCTCTGTACCCTCCTCTGCCTTCTGGCCCACCGTACGGGGGTTCTCTTCACCACCGCCTAACGGGGAACAAGAAGAGATGGGTCAGTGTCCTACTTGGTCCACACCCCTGAGAGCCAAGCAAAGCCAGAAGCAAACCCACCCCCAGAAGCTGGAAAGGAGAGAACAGTGCAGCCTGATGTTTCAGGAGTGACTGCATGTCACTGTATAAAACACTCAGGTGCTCCCTTTCTCCTACTACTATTTATTCTTCCTTACCCTGCAGGAACTTAACTCCACCATGTCCAGAGGTGGCTGAGCCAGCTGAGGATCCACTGGAGCACACTGTGGGCTGTTCAGAACAAGCTGATCCTGAGCTGATGACGGCCACACCTTGAGTGCTACTTGTAGTAGGGAGTTTGAAAGCCAGATGTATATCAGGGTTTTTTTTTTTTTTTTTTTTTTTTTTTTAAGAGCCTAAGGCTTACTCCAGACCAATGAGGAAGATTAAAGTTCTCAGTGCCTCTGGTTTTTAAAGGATGGCTCTCAGGTGCAGCTTGGGCTTAGCATTATTGTTATATGTTTTTGCTGCTTCCTGTTTGATCCTTGGACCAGCAATAGTCTCCTCTGGGAACTTGTTAGAAATATATAATCTCAGTCTAGCCCAAGACCGATGGAATCAGAAACTATATTTCAACAAGTTTCCCCAGGGGAGCTCTGTGTATATTAAAATCTGACAAGTACCTATCTAGAGAGAACTAAGTATCTTGAATACATTTTGTGTGAGAAACCCTCTTCTGCAGCATATCGTTTTCAATTTCTACACTATGGGGAGGAGATCACCCTTGCCACTCTAAACAAGATTTCTCAAGGTATAGTCTAGGAAGGACAGCAGCATGTCCCCTGTGTGGCTTATTAAAGTGCACACTCTTAGACCCATGCAAGGTTTGTCTATTAAGAGGAGCCTTTGGTGGTCTCTAGGGCATGCTCGTCTAACACTGGCATTCTAGCACACTCTGGAGTCGGAGGTCCAGCAGCTGCCAGGAATAGTGGAAAACACTCCAAGTTTATACTCGCACACTCTCTAGGTTTACTCACTTTGCCTAGCACACAGTACCTGGACTTGGGCCAGGTGGGCACCAAAAGATGAGAATCTGAGTCCAGTATGAGTTCTGTGGAATTCTGCTAGCAGGGGCCATGGCCTCTCAGGGTCCAATTACTTTTCTGCACCTTTCTACTCAGAATCTGGTGCTGTTAGTATAGCTGTATGGTTGTTACTAGGGAGCTAGGTAGGAATACAGAATCTCAGGCTTCCACCCAAACCCACTGATTTTTAACAAGATCTCTTGCTGATTTGTGTGCACATTACAGTTTGCAAAGATTGGCATAGATCACACTGCTTATGTAGAGACAAGTTTAACACAGCTCGGAGTATTATTGGTGGGGCCAACATGCTGAGAGTCTGGGTGGGGGGCACGCATGTGCAATGAAAGAAGTCTTGTCTACTCATTCAGACTGGAAGGGAGGAATGACCCTGTCCGTTCCCTCAGGCTCAGGTGGAAAAGTAGCTACTGCTTTGGAATTCTGTCCATGGACTTGCACTGAGTCACCCAAGGCTGGGAAATGTCTGTGAACTCTGCACTGCAGAGGCTCCTGGAGCTTTAGCTTTCCCTGTGCCGCTCTGCAGAACTGGAGCCAAAGCATGCCCCATCTGCATTCTTCCACAGTGCTCAACCCCAGTACTAGCCAGAGGACTCTGCTGCCGTCTGCCTGGCTGGAAAGGCACTTCTGGGGACCATTACATCTCATTCCTCACATGCCAAGTGCCATTCACCCCAGCTTTCCCCTTGGCAGGGCTGTATTTTGACCTTAGAGTCATAAACTCTGAACTGGATGGAAGCCTCAAGATCACAGTCTCCCTCCTTCATCTGGAGAAATCAACTCACAGAGATACACAGCTTACTAATCATAGCAAACCTAGGAACTGCTTTGGATCTCTTGTCAATCTATGGCTCTTTCCACTGAACTGTACACTGTGAACCTGTTGATTGCATGAAAGAGGCTTATTTATTTATTTAGCATGGGACCTGGTCCTAGATATTGAAGGCCACAGCAAATGCCATTCATCATACTTGGTTAGCTTTGATATATATGAAGAGGGTGCTTTGGTTTAAAGCCTGAAGGAAACATTTATCAGGAACTTCTGGAAATGCAAAAAAGTGAAGTTCCTGGTTGTTAAGATAGCCTAGATTTTTTTCAAGCTGTGATAGCCATAGAAACAGAGGTAGAGAGACCTGGGTGTGCCGATGAGGTCTCAGTGGGGAAGCAGGAGATTTCTGGGCAAGACTGAGCCCATCCATCTGGCAGGGCTGATAGATGGCTGCAGAAGACCAGTGCACCAGCCTCTCTTGTATCGTTCATACCTAGTAGTCCAGATTCTGTGTTATTCGCAGCTCAGGAAAGTGAAGCATGACTATATATTTCTAAGCATCCCTACAGTCAGTGGCCTGCCATGAAAACCAAAAATAAGAATCACCTTTCTCCCATGATCAATGCTGGAAAACTGGGCTACAGATCCATCAGGGAAGGCCGCAGCCCCTCACGCTGTGCTAGTGGAGAGCTGACAATGAGAGATGGGAGCAGATCCCATAAGCAGATTGGAGATAAAATAACCAACTTCCCAAGGCTATGGGAAAATCTTAGAGTGAAGGTGGTAGCATAACAATTTACTACTGGCCTCTGGGACAAATTCTCAAGACTTTCATAAAAGATAAAGCCAATTTTAAGGATATTATGAACATGCCCATCAAATGTTCTAGAAATGAGATATACTGTTGATGTGGTGGGAAAGAAAGAAAACAATAACATTGGCTGGGAACTAGAAGTCACTAATTTTTGCCTGACATTTCACAAGTCATGTAAACTCATGGAGGGTTTCTTCAATTGCAAGCATGCAGCCCTCCTGGGAAGAAATTTCCAGACTCTGTAGGGCTAACCCTACAAACCCAATCTGTAAATGATGGCAGGTATCTCAGAGGGATACCTGCCATTTCTTTCTTGAGTTGTAATAAAATGAGATAATGCTTGCAACATTCTCTGGAAAGTAATTTTGCAGTGCTCACACATCAGGCAGCTCCTTAGGGAGGACGCTTCCATCTGATGGTGCTGGCCCCTCTGCTCCAGGCAGGATGGCTCTTTATCCTTAGGGGACAGACACCTGCTATTTTATACCTACCCAAATTGACTCTCACCCAGCTGAGAGTTAATTATGTGTCTTTGACTGGTGATATTCTTGACAACCAGGATTACATTAATTTCTCTTGACACCCCCAGCACCTATCATGTGTCTGGTATGTTGTAGACACTCAGAAGTTTGTTGAATAAATTAACGAAGGGTGGATTATCCTACAAATTTTAATTTCTGAATGGTGTAACAAACAAAGCCATTGGGTATTCCAAGGTATGAAGTACCTTAAAAAATAAATATCTTATGGTAAATGTTAGATCCTTGGTAAATATTGAAGTAGTGGTAAGGGGCTTTCCTAGGTGGATTCAAGTGCTAACTGAGTTTTGTCTGGTTTTGAAAGCTGCAGGGTGAAGGTTGATTATTTCAAGTATTACTTGGATAAAACAGTGGAAGTCTGTAGATGGTGATAAAGAGTTGGCCATCTGTGACCACCAACCAGGAACCCAGAAGTTCTCTAAGAGTAGCTGGAATAACTCTGTTGATGAGAGAGGAGAAAACAGACTGTTGAAGATAGAGGAGTGGATTGATGATTTGTTTTAGTTACCAGCTATTATATTGGTGAATTCCACCTGCCTGTAAAGCCCTAATCTGCTTGGAGAAGATGGATTGGGCCTTCTGTAGCCCAAGAGCACTGTGCTCACAGCAAGCACTCAGTACTCTCTCATCTCTCACAGTATCAGGCACGCATAGAAACCAGCACTTGTGTGGCGTGGCGCAATCAACAGATGCTGGGCCCAGGAGCTCTGGTTACCATCCCCCCCCCCCCCCCCCCCGCACCTGGATTGCCAAGGGCATTGCTGTCTCGACACAGCTAGGTGTGTTCTGTGATTGCAGCTAAGAAGCTCTGTCCTCATTCTTTAAATAATCTCATTTGCTGCCTTGATCTTTTTTCTACATATTTAAGCATTTATGAAAGCCTAAATTTCTCAGCTTAACCATGTAAATCCCCTCTTAGAAACGTGCCTGCTGTTCCTCTTGACCGTGTTTTTTAAACCAGATAAACTCTTGTCCTTTCTACAAAAAAAAGGGACAAAATAAAATGAAAGATAAAAGCAGCCCTATCCTCGGCCGCCTGTGGGTCTATAGCTTAGTGATTCCCCAGCATGTCTGGCTGGTGTAGGACCTACTGCTTGCCTTTTCCCTAACAAGACTTGTTCAGTGTTGTAGTGCACGCAGCTTTGTGCTGGGGGCCACTCAGGATGATCTCAGGGGCATGGTTCCTGCCTTTGAGGATCGCTGTTGTCCTGTGTTTTAGCAGGCAAGAGTCCAGTGGTGAGTCCTTCCCATTGATTCAGGAACTAAGAGCAGCTCTGAGTCATAAGGATTTGTGCATAGCTTCTTTTCTGGGGGCATCGTGATCCCAAAGGACTCAGGTCCTTTATTGGTTTTTAATGTATAAAAAATGACAACCATTCAAATCATTAGTAGCAAGAATGGATGCTGTCCATATGTCACTCACAAGGTTCAACACATGGAGCATTTGAATCTACTGTGAAGACACATTTGTCATCCCTCTCGCCTTTCTGGGCCCTGAAGCTCTGGCCTGGCAACTGTGGACACACACACACACACACACACACACACACACACACACACACACAGAGGCACTGTCCTAGTTGCAACACCAGAATGTCTTTTCTCTTATGAAATGGAACATTGTATATAATTTGATTTTTTTCTACAACCTGTTTTATATGATTATGCTTTGGCCATAGTTTGGGTCTTTCCTTAAGTGGAAGCTTTGTACCAGGACTTGTAATTTCTAGGGCTACACTCTGTGTGTGTAAATATGTGTGTGTATGTGTATGGGTGCTTGTGGGAGGTACATGGGTG